GTTTGACCTCAGGATAAAGAGGAAGGGAGAAAGAGGATCTCCCTGACGAATGCCTCGAGAGGGGATGAAGGGTTCAGTTGGTTCCCCATTAAAGAGGATGGATAAATTCATAGAGCGGATACAGGCTCGGATCCATTTTCACCATCGGTCGTCAAACCCATACTTCTCGAGGAGGGTTTCCAGGCAGTCCCATTCAACCATGTCATAGGCTTTCTTCATATCCAGTTCAAGCATCATATCCCTTATATTCCCCAACTTGTGGTTTTTGAAGTGGTGTAAAGCTTCATGGACAATGATGATGTTATATAGTATAAGGAGACCCCCTGTGAAAGCAGTTTGGAGCTCCGAAACCAATGAAGGGGTCCGCTTCTTTAATCTTGTAGCCATAATCTTTGAGATAATCTAGTACCTAAAGTTGCAGCAGGTGATAGGACGAAACTGACTAATAAGCTCAGGATGATCAACCTTCGGGATCATAACAATATGTGTATCATTCCACCCATCAGGCATTGACGCTGTCTCAAAGAAGGTTTTAACTTCTCTACACAGGGTATCCCCGGCCGTGCCCCAGAATCGGTGATAGAAATGTCTAGAAAACCCATATGGGCATAGGGCTTTCCTGGCTCCAATAGAGAAAACCGCTCTCCTGACTTCTTCATTCTTACTGGAGCACAAAAATCCTCATTCATTTCTCCGAAGACTTTCCTCAGGAAGTTCTCCAAGAGATGCTTGAAGGGAGTTGAGTTTCTAGCCCTGAAGAGGCCTTTGTAAAATTCCCTAGTCATCCCCTTAAGTATGCCATCATCCTCTATACAATTACCTTCCTCATTTTTTAGCCTCTATATTTTATTCCTGTGTTTTCTATGCTTAGTGCTAGAGTGATAGAATTGAGTATTTTTATCACATGATTGAAGCCATTTTCACTCTACTGCACTGTCTCTAGTAAGCTTCCTCATCTTGTCGTAACTTTATGACTCACTTCTACTGTCACCCTAGGAATTGGCCAAGTGAAACCACTTCCTAAAGCGTAGTATAGCGGGTTAGGTTTATATGTCAACCCGGGTCCTAGATCTGATGACTACTCAGTGAATTCTTGTTATCTAGCAATGAAACTGGAATGCAAGTCTAAACTATCAAACTAACAAAGCAAGTAAACTGTTGTATTCAGGTTAAGAGAGGTCACCCGGATATGGTTCCCCCTAGACTGCAGTTAAGCCGGATTGTAATTACCAAGTTCAGTTTCTATGATAGTTATACTGCGGAAGGTTCTCAAACAGCCTGAAGTCTCGACTAAAGGTCTTCAGACCCTCTCAATCTGAATCTCTAGCGGGCGACTAACCTCCACCGGAGTAAACAGATTGAGGTCCTAAGAACAAAACCTCCACTACCGGAGTAAAACCGGTACAGAGTAGTGAGTTGGCTCCTCGACTAAAGTCACCAACTCCCTACCTTCAATCAAGGATGCTCTATTAACCTAGTCAGATATTCTCATTCTAGGTTAAAGCAAAAACAACAGGAATTTGATCAGGATTCAAGTCATTCAATCATTCAAACCTCAATCGAATATAATCAACTCATAGAATCAGTACTTGGGTTCATACAATCAAACCTAACATACAAATCTAGGGTTCTCCATACCCAGATGAATGGGAGAACTACTCCATGGAGAAAGAAGCAAAAGCAGAATCAGACGCGGAATTCATACTGTGAAGGATGGATTCATGCTCCTGGACGTTGATTGGTACTTCTCCAAGCTCAAACTGGCCTCCAATGGTGATGAAGATCAATCTAGGGCACTTGGAGACTCTTGTTCGTCGCTTTCTCTCTCTAGGAATCGCTCTGTCTCTCTAAAACTCGAATCCCCTTCTGTTTGGCTGAAAATCTGCTTAAAAGGGCATCAGTGGCCAAAGCACGGTCAAGGGCACGACCGTGTAATGCCTCAGCCCGCCCGTGCTTTGGCTAGGGTTAATTACACTAGGAGAAACACGGCCGTGCTTTGGTGAAGCACGCCCGTGTTCTATCTCAGCCCTGCCCGTGTTTTGGCCAATGTTTGCCAAACTCGAATTAGCTCTCGGCAGTAAAAGCACGGTCTCAGAACACGGCCGTGTTCTGGTTTAGGTGTGCCCGTGTTTTGGCTCCAGCTCACCGAAATGACTTCCGAATGCCCCGAAACTCGTTCTTAGCCTTTCCTTTGACGCCTGTGACCTGAAATATGACAAAATAGCACAACCCGACGTAAAATAGGCCAAAAATACACGAATATGCCCCTCAAACGGATAAGAACTAGGGGCGCAAATTCGTGCAATTACATCGTTATCACTTTGCAAGTTCAATCATGAGACTTTTTTCTTACTCCACATTGGCTTGTGTTCGAGGGGGTCTATGAAGAACTTCCATGCGAGAGATAATCTCATTCTCTCTTTGAGTGTAGCAGAGTGGAAATCCTTTCACCAAGCTTTCCAATCTCTCTCACACTTATTGAGTTGGTTTGATGATGTTCCACATAGGTCCCAAGCTTGAGTTACAATCCCTTGGCACTCTTCTTTGTCAAGCCACCTTTCGTCCGCCCTAAAGGGGGTTTTCCTCCTTCTAGTCCCGTTATAATGGAGATCAACCCGAACTGGGCAATGATCTGATTCCACCATATTTTCATGGAAAACCACTGCTTCTTCAAAATGTGATCTCCAAGAAGTAGAGCACAATACTCGATCAAGTCTCACTCGTATGGTGTTGATACCGGTACACATATTCGTCCATGTGAATGGGTGTCCTTTGAATCCTAGATCGATGAGGGCATTGTGGAAGATGAACCTCTTGAAAGGTTCCACATTCTCGTATCTAAGAGGACATCTCCCCTATTTTTCATAATCATAGATAGCGACATTGAAGTCACCTATTACAACCCAATTATCCTCCCTACTACTCCGAAGAGAGCTAAGTAGCTCCCAAAATTCCCTTCTACCAACTGATGTGGAGGGTGCATGAACAAATGTACAAAATAACTTCCTACACATATCAATACTAACATCCATATAATAGCTACTACTACTAAGAACACTAATATTAATACGCGACTTCCACCACAAAGCAAAACCCCCTATACGAGTTAACTGGTTCAACATACTCTCTGTTGGGGAAAATTTGGAAACTTCTTCTTTGTTCTTCCATAAATGCCTCATTTTTGGTTGTTTCCATAAGAAAAACGATTGAGGGGCTATAACGACGAAAGAGTCGTTTGGTATAGCTTCTAGTAAGGAGAGGCCCAAACCCCTTACAATACCAGCTTATGATACTCATGGTGAGTGAGGTGGCTTTTGGCGAACCACCGCTGCCTTGTCCTTGATTCCTCCCCAATCCATACATCCTCCCAGCTCAACTTCCTTCCTTGTTCTAGTTGATGATGTCTTGGCCTTGTGGCTCTTCTTCTTCCTATTGCTTCCTGAACCTGGAAATGAATAAGCAGGGGAATTTATGCCCAATTGGGCTTGGTTGGCTTCATTAAGCCCAGCCTGGGTCGGGCCTCCAGCTACTAGGCCTACTCCTTTTTTCATTTCGGCCCATCTCTCCTTCAATAATGGTCTGATTTTGCTGATAGTTATTATCATACTAATGAAGTTGGGCCTCTCTGACTACCACTTGGGCCTTATTAGTGTTTTCCTCATGGGTTGTCGGTTCCCCTCTCTTGGCCGCCGCACCCATTAGCCCGAGACTAAGAGATGTCTCCACCGCCAACCTTCTTGTCCTAGCTCCATCTTATCCTATGATGAGACCAATCTCCATCTCCGTTGCTGCCTTTTCCAGATCAAACTCAAGTTTTTTTGCCCCCATCTCTTCCCTGTACCTACACTGTCTCTTGTTAGGTGCGAAGATATCATCGATTTTTGGAGTGAGATTTGTGCGTGCATTGCTTCTCTTGAACCCAGGCGGAAAGTAACATCCTTCCGTACTGCTTGTCATATTTCTAGCTGTTGCCCTCATTTCCATTGTTGTGCTCTCTCTCAGATGGAGCGGCCCCACCTGCAACCCGGCCTCCCTTGCTATGACGTCTCCTTTCTTCACCCCCAATCCAAAATTACATGAGAGAATTCCTTGGGAGCAGTCTGTCACTTATTTTCCTTCCTCTGTTTTTTCTTCTTCTCTGTTTTTGGTGGGCTGCTATGGGGAAACAGAGCAAGGATTACATTTCAGATTGCTCTCCTTTGCATAACATTACTACTTAGACAGTTAGACTACAACCAATAAGACGAAAAATTCTTAGTGACGACAAGGAATCCCTACTTCATTTATATAGTAATCTCTCTTGCACCCTTTGGCTTTATCCATTGAAACTGAAACGATCATCACACAAATGAACTCCCCTGTTCCGATGTCTTCTGACCCGTCCTAGCTCGCCGGCGACGAAGTTTTAACCCGTCCGGCATTGTGGGGAAGACGGGTGGCCGGTCTGTCCTACATTATTAAGTTTTTATTTACTTATTTATTTTGGTAATTGATAAGTTTGTTTTATGTTAGGTGTTTAAACTCCACATAAATGAACTAAGGGTATTAGAGCAAAATAAATTTAATTAGGGCGACGAATAGCAACGCCATAAGGAAAGGAAACTAGCATAACAAAAACACACAAATGGACGAGGACCAGCACAGTTAGGTTGGGCCACGTCAAATCACGGGCCCATACTGTTTGACTCGCTGCCTTCTCCTGCAAGGCTAAAATGGCGCATACACGCTGCCGTTTACTGAAGCCTCTTGTTCTTCAGCTTATCATTTTTCTCAAGGGTTAATTGCAAAAATGGTCATTGGGTTTACTAAAAACGTTCATGTTTGGTCACTACAAATATTTAATTCTATTCATGGTCACTAAGATTAGTTCAATAGTTCAAGTTTGGTCACTCTCCGTTAGTTTTTACTAATGTGGCAGTCAACTATTATAGTTGACCGTTAAATGAGTGACGTGGCCATTTAAAAATATTAAAATAATAACATTTAAATATTTACAATTTCCACGGTTCCACCTCATTTTACAGTAAGAACAATGCGACAAAAACAAGTCAAAAACAGTAAGAATATGCATGGAAGCTAAGCAGACATACACACACAAAAACAATGCGACGAGCATACTCACTGTCTCAAACTGCCAGAAGTGAACAACTCCGTAATCATGTTGATAGTTCTATTCTTGTCATCAACCCAAGAGTGGTAGGACTTGAGGATGTTTTCACGCTTCAGTAACTCCAGCAGATGAAACTCGGAATATAACCTCTCCAACTATTCCGGTCCGGTGTATGTAATGCATCTTCAATGCTCATTTGGTTCCAATCAACTTCTATTCCGTCAGCCTCATCAATTGCCTTATATCTGTCATAAGAGACGAAGAAATCAGTACATGTGTCTCTCTAGTATTGAAAAACAGGAAAAACGAGGCAACGAGGAGCTCCCTCTCTCTATTGGTTTTTCCGGCTCCAGAGGTTCGACTGAATCCAACCGCTGGAGAGAGCGGCAATTGAACGGAGAGAAGCTCAGCGAATCCGAAACCCTAAATTGAAAATTTTCGGGGCAGGTGGAGAATGAAGCAAAGCAAGGCGGGCGTTGAGGAAGAAGCGGCGACGGAGACAATCGCGTCATGGCCACGACGCAGCAGTCAAAGCTGAGCGTATCGGAGAGCAGTCGAAACCGAGAGAAATCGAAGGATGAGGGATCAGAATGACAGTGGCGTAGATGGCGAACACCATCTATTAAGTTTTATTTTTATTTTTTAATAGTTGTAAAATGAGATGAAAATTGTAAATATTTAAATTTTATTATTTTTTAATGGCCACGTCACTCATTTAACGGTCAAAATAGTTGACTATCACATCAGCAAAAACTAACGGAGAGTGATCAAACTTGAACTATTGAACTAATTTTAGTGACCATAAATATAATTAAATATGTGCAGTGACCAAACATAAACGGTTTTAATAAACACAGTGACTATCCTCGCAATTAACCCTTTTTCTCAAATATAAACTTTTCGGTTTAAAGTTTAAACCCTAAAACAGAGACCAACCACTTCCCTCTACGAACGATGAAGTTCCGATCTACGCACAGGCTCTCCATCTTCCTGAACTCTCCTCAGTTCAACCATCGCCGTCTTCACCACCGCCATTTCTTCACTTCTTTCCACAAGAAGTTTCATTCGACGTCGCTTACTCGTGCCGCTTTGAACAATGGCGACGGTGGCAACTCTAGAGGTCAGCTCTCCGGTACAATTAGATACTAGCCTAGCTTCTCTCATTTTCGGAATTTCAACTAATTGGACGCACTCGATTTATCGTTTGGCTTCTTGAGAACTTGCATGAGAAACAAAGAAGGATTGGTTCCACATTTCTCCGCTTGTGTAGCTGTTAGCTCATTGTTGTTGCTGCTGAAGAAGCTGAACTCTACTTTTTACATGGATTTTGGCTGCTTGATGTCTTCTTGGTGCTTATATGACATTATCACAGTAGAGCAAATTCACATTTCGAGCATTAGGTTGCATGGATTTCAGTTTTTTGAGATTTGTAGTTAGTCTTTGGTTTTAATTTTGGTAACATATGCTGTACATACTGGCTGATTGTGTGTTAAATGAACTGAGCGATTAAAGCTACTGCAAGTTGTGGTGAGGGGGAGTATCGTTGTTGGAAACTACAGTGTACGATGCTATTGTTTCTGGGACCCCTTTCGTATCTTTAGCCACGTAGAATGCAGTTGGAGTTGATTGTTCGATGTCTTTTCAGGCAATACTTTCCTGGTACCTGGTGCCACTGCAGCTACCTTACTTATGCTTGGTGCACTGCATGCTCGTCGGATGTATGATGACAAAAAGGTGTGCATTTGTCTCACCTATAGCATACACGTCTCTCAGCTTTTTCTTGTGCTGCTTTAGTCTTATGTCATGCACATCTTTGATCTTTTCATCAAGTTGTTCCTGTATGCATTCATGGTCTTGGTTATGATCAATTATTGGTGGTATTTTAAGAAAATAATTCTGTTTTTATGTTGTGGTGATTCATGGGTTATGATTCCTTGTTCTTTTGGGGCAGTTGGAAGATGCACGAGAGAAAGGGGTTGAAATTGAATTCCAACCTGATGCAAAAGTATGTACTATCACTAGAAACATTATTTGATCCATCATTATACAACTGCGAGATCTGAATGAGATTCATGTTTTGCATTTTACTAAACCCTCATACTTTTTGTACTCTAGGCTTCATTTTTGAGGATGCTACCCTTACGCTCCATTTCAAGAATTTGGGGTTCTTTAACTAGTGTGGTGAGCGTCCCTTCATTTTTTTTAGGATGCCAGTTATTTCCTTAAGCTTTCGGATGTGAAGTTGTTAAAAGATTATGTACTTTCAGGAACTCCCTATCTGGATGCGCCCACATGTCTATAGAGCTTGGGCAAGAGCATTTCATTCAAGTATGGTTTCTACATGTTGATATTTTTGGAGTTGATTTGTTTAGTTCTACTTTGTTCTTTTGCCACCACTCTTGTTGATGATTGTGCAACTGTCACTTAATGGTTGGCTTTAAAGAAAATGTCCCCTTCTTGTTTAAGTGCAGACTTGGAGGAAATGTCTCTCCCTCTCGAAGAATATTCTTCTTTACGCGAATTCTTTGTCCGCACATTGAAAGAAGGGTCCAGGCCTATTGACCCTGATCCACATAGTCTGGTAACTGGTAACAAGCTTCTTGCTGATGTTTCACATCCATACTGCTTTTATGGGAGATAGTACTAAACAGTGACTAGTCTATAGAGCATCTAATTTTTCTTTTTTTGCAATCTCAGGCTAGCCCAGTAGATGGTACGATTATAAGATTTGGGGAACTGAAAGGACGGGGGGCTATGATTGAACAAGTCAAAGGGTTTTCCTATTCTGCTTCTTCTCTACTCGGAGCTAGCTCCTTCCTTCCTATAGCAGCTGAAAGGGATTTGCCTGAGGAAACTAGTGAAAACCGAAGTAACCATAAAGAGAACAGTCAAAATTCACAATGGAGTATTTCATTGTCTTATCCTAAAGCCAGAGACACAGTGAAGTCAACAAGGTAGAGTCAACATTTCTTGTTGCACTACACTCTAGAATGACAGAAGAACATGTTCAGTGATTCATTGATTCCTTTGCAATGACCTCCATCGGGCTAGATGATTGATTCATGTTATTCATTGCAGTCCAGGGAAAGGACTTCACTACTGTGTAATTTACTTGAAACCTGGAGACTATCACCGCATACACTCACCAGTTGATTGGAATATTCTTGTCCGCCGTCACTTTTCAGGTGGTTTATTTTGTAACATATCAATTTGTCGCTTGTAAATGGTGATGCTATGAACTGAGAGCCTTGCACTTTCATTATATCCATTTCTAGGTTTGCCAGTTGCTTTAACAAGTTACTGGTCTGCTGATCTCTTCATATCAGTGTGCGTGAAGATTATACTATGTATTGATGTCTGAATGCTTAACCTATCATTAACTGTTACCTTGTATTATGCTATTCCAGCCTGTGGGGCGAATATGCAAGGTCATTGCATGGTGAAACATGATCTTGAATGATTGAAAAACATTCATTGAACTTGACATCAGATATGATTTTAACTTCGGTTATAGAAATAGAAAAAAATTGAACATTGTTTATCCATAGCGTATGATTTGTGTATAGTTTTTATATGTAGATTTCCTTTAACTCATCAAGTATGTTGTATGTCCTGAATATTGAACTAATACTTTATCATCTCTCAGGACGGCTTTATCCAGTGAATGAACGTGCAACAAGAACAGTTAGAAATCTGTATGTTGAGAATGAAAGAGTAAGGCTCACTGAACCTACTCATTATGGTTTATTATCAGTGCAATAAATAGGGTCACAACTTACATCTGAACATCAAAGATGGTTTGTAAACTGATATCTTTGTTCTTGTTTACTCTGTAAGCCTTCTCATTTTGTTCAAATGTGAGTTTTTTTTGTGTGCTTAATATGAAAGCTTCCGCTCTGTAAGTTTGCAAGTTCTAATAATTAGTCTGAACAGAAAGTTCAAACAACCATCAAGACACTAGTGTAAATTTGTTAGCTTATTCCATTCGTTAGTAGTAAATTTGTTTTATAGTCATGGATAATTGGTTTGGAATATGTTCTTATCCACCTTGGCTATCTCATTGAGTCACTGAACTTCCATTACACAGGTAGTAGTTGAAGGTCTATGGAATCAGGGATTCATGGCCATGGCTGCAGTTGGTGCTACCAATATTGGATCGATCGAGGTCAGACCATTTGTTTGCATGATGTCCCTTACTAGTTTCTATTGTATGGCCAAGGAGTGACTCCTTTGTGTAAGGGACATAACTGAAGAATGTATTGGAAGGGTCATCCATAACTAACATTATTTTCTTGGTTTCAATCTGATCTTATAATGGTGTACATGGCAGCTTTTCAATGAACCAGAGCTTAGCACAAACCTGCCAAGAAAGCTGCCATCTACTTCTGATCCTCCCGAAGAACGGGTATACGAACCTGAAGGCATTGGAAGACTGGTCAATAAAGGAGACGAGGTTAGTTATGTATATGCTAATTTGCTTCCAGAAAACCACGAGCAATCGAAATGGAAGAAAGATAGTCTTACAAATGAATATTGTCCTTCAAATCTTTCTTTATAGATAGCTGCTTTCAACATGGGATCAACAGTCGTGCTCGTCTTTCAAGCTCCTACATTGAAATCAGCCAAAGATGGAGACCGATCTTCAGAATTCAGGTTCAATATCAAACGTGGGGATCGAGTTCGAGTTGGAGAAGCGCTTGGCACGTTCCATGATATATAGATTACATAAGCATTTGCTCATTTTTCGCTGAAGTTATTATGGTTCAGCTAAGCAAAGCACACATCCAAGTGTGTCATACTTCCACTCTGAGTTTCACTGTTGTAGAAACCCCAAGTTGTCAGTTTACTTGTGAAAGTTCGTTGTAATTTTATGCATCAGTTGCTGGGTTACTCCCGAGTCCTGAAATTCACCTTCTGTAGAAGGGATCCGCGAAATAGAGACATTGCTATCTGGGAATTTGATACCCAGAACAGTTAGTGAAATTGTTTTGAAGATCAATTGTTTGTGTGTGAAAATGTATCCAGCCAAATCATTCGAGGTTGTGGAGGGATGAAAAGAGTGAAAATTGATCAAATAGACAATTCGACTAGTAAAACCAGCTGGTGCAACAGTAACTGAAATGGGATCAAATCTCTAAAGTGACTTCGGTTGCTATTTCTACCAATCAATTTCATTCAATAAGGGAATCAAAATCACATACAAGTTCGATTAGAATCCCTAACTCACAAGTGTAGTAGTAACTGAAGAATCCTAGTAACTTTCAACTATCAACACATATCCATTCATTCGTTTTTCTCCGTTGGACATGTCTGTAGAAGACCCTCTTCTGTATTTCTCCTCCAAAATTGAGCCACAGGCAACGTCACTCCACATATAATAGAGAAAAAAAGCAGCTTATCCTTCCCGGTATCCCTCTATATCAAAACTTTGTTCCTGTTGACATGAAAACACCATCTCATGTTAGCTATAAACCAGCAACTCCGTTTTATTTGATCGATAGGAAATGCATGTAATGGTCACTACAAGTATCTGTTTGATTCAGAAATCTACTATTTGCTCAATTAATAACCAAACCAGCACAAGGGCAGACCCAGAGGATTGGCCTACATCATCACACAACAACTGAAACTCACAGGTCGATTGCTTATGCCTGATCAAATCAGTCTCAAGAAGCTAGACTTGTATTCGAATTTGCCAAGGAAAGAAAGTAACACATGAACGCCTAATCATCAACTATGACTTGATTTATGGATTTTGGCGTTCACCAAAATAAGTGACATTCCACCAAACCACTCTAAAATCCCCATTACTTCTTGCTAATTGGTAATTTGACAAGGATTTCGTTGCAAGATGACTAAACATTGCAATTGGATGACGAGTAAACATTGCAATATGGATCCCAAGGAGCACAGAATTCTTAACCACCATTAATTCAGCAGCATCCCAAACGACAAGCTAAATGACTAACCACGACCATGATCAATTTCCCAGCGCTCCCCACTAATCAGCAATACACCAATAAATAATCCCAAGAAAGGGTTTCAACTCAGGACGACTAAACTTGGCAATCAGGATTCCAATCAAGCCACCAGATCAACCAAGGCAAAAATGGAAGGTCGAAACTAGGTTATACAGCGACCAGAAAAATGACAGCATATGCAAAGGCACACCTACGTCTGTTTGGAGTACGAAGATGAAGAAGGGACGCGCTTGTTCCGAAACATCATGTATCCGACCGGCAACACCACCCCGATCATCATAATCGCCGCGCCGATCAGGTACCTTATCGGGCTCGGCGGCTCCACCTCCACGATCCTCTGATGCTGCAGATCGAAAAAAGAAGGGGGTAAAAATTCAATCGTGAGCTAGGAACTGAAAACGACAACAAGAGCTCCAAGGTTGCTCTAGGAGATCTGGATCAGGCATAATAGATTAGAGCAGAAAGAGAGCCAGAGAAAAAGGGAACATACTGGCATTTTCCGCCGCTCGCCGCTGCTAGTAGCTACGGAGATTTAGGAAGAGAGGCGAGAACGGGAAGAGAGATTGATCTCAGAACAGTGAAGTGAAGAATAAAGCAAGGAGACGAGACGAAACAATAACGACGACTACCGGAAAGAGGTGTAATGTAAATGCTTCTCCGTTGAAATACAAATTGAAGTTAGGGTAGTTCGGTTTTATAATTGTTTGGTTGAGATGGTTACAATGTATTGTGTAATAATTATTTATCGGTAGGTTGGCCGAAAAATTTCATTTTATTATTTATATAAATTAATTTTTCTATATGTATACCCGTTTTAATCTTTTAACTTTTTTATGCTCACGCTTCATAAGTGAGTATGTTATATGTTCATATTAAAAATTCTCAATATTTAACACACTCACCTATGATCTTCATAGGTTTCGATTCTCTAATAATAAATCATATTTTAAAGGTTTATCCCGTCACATTCAGAATAGTATACAAAAGTTTGTCAACCAAGTAGACCTGACAAATTACAACCCGATCAGTTGATCCGACCCGAAACCGCCCAAAAACTAGAAATTTTTGTAACCCGAAATCTGAATGACCCGAACCCGATAACCCGTGATTTTTTTGGTCGGGTTGGGTGGGTTATCGGGTCGACCCGTTAGACCCGTTCCATTTTATATATTACTTCCAGAATGATAAATCACTCATAAATTGGTGAGATCTTTAAAAAAAAAATCACAAGGATTTGAATGACATGTTTGGAGTTTAAGGATAATCAACTATCATGTGTTTCTTGTAGTAGTATTACTTTTGTGATTGTTTTTGACGATTTGCGCAATTTGTATTTCATTTCATTAGCATGGGAGGATTTGAGAATATGTTAATTGACATGTGTTAGGTAAACTTTTGTCATGCATATGTGAAAATTTGTGTTCTTTAAGAAAATATGAAGCATGTTTGATATTGTTTCCGAGAACGCTCATAACCCGAAATGACCTGTAACCCGACCCGAAACCGAATGGGTTGGGTTAATATTTGACCTAAAATCAATCAAGCAAACATGACCCAACCCGTAACCGAAGTCCCTAACCCAAAATTACCCAACCCGACCCGATTGCCAGGTCTACAACCAAGCCATTCAAAATTCCAATCTTATAAAACATCTAAAATTTCGTGATTCTCGAGTTAGGACAAACTCTCAAACAATTATTAAGAGTCCATATTATTGGATAAAGATACTTGATTACTCGATAAATTGTGTTTATCCCAAGTGAAACTTGACACACGTCGTACCCCTTATTATGATCAACTTATCTAATCTTGACACATGTTTATGTGAATATTCATTAAATCTCTGTAGAGGATCTTATGTCAAAATTTGTCTATTAAGACACTCAAATTTAGTATCTTTTACAACAGAGTAAATACAATTTATTAATCAAATCTTTCAAACTTTTAATTATCAACCATACCTTTTAAAATACAAAGTATTAGTCAAACATTAACTCCCCATTAGCATTTTTGTTAGTAATATTGACTCAATAACATGATGATGAGTTGGAGGAGACATAGACCATCAATATTCAAATTTTAGTATTTTAATTATGAAAATATTTACAAACTTATTAATGATAATAGAGAAATGATTAATAATTTGACGCGATACAAAATATTTGGTTAAAAGTTTGAAAATTCTAAAAGATATAGCTATTAAATTTTATTTACTCAATATGAACCAATTGCTAATTCTTGAAATTTGTACTAACCCTCAGCCCATGGAGTCACATACTCACAACCATGCAACCAAATGACTTATCAGAATTGTCTTGATCTCATGCTTATAAAGATTCTTCATTTTTAACCTAATAGCTCGATTTAGAGTCTTCTAACTATAAAGACTTTTAATGTAGAAGACATTCAACTATTAAACGAAAATTATCAACCCATGTTTGATTAATGCTAGGTCAGTGATTGATGAAACATAATGTTTATCGTACATTGTCAACAAAGATTTCTCTAACATTCACATGTGCCATATAATACTTGTACATCATCAAGTTTCTATCCATAACTTTCACTATATAATACTTGTTTTATTTTATAGATATATTAATTAGAAATAAGAGTAAGGATGACAATGGGTCGGGTTTGCCTAAACCATCCTCATCCCTATTCACATTTTCAAATAACTAAACCCATATCCGCCCCATACCCATACGGTGGAAGATTTTACAAACCCATCTCCATACCCGCGGTTTTCGGATACCCATGGGTAATACCCACCCCATCACTACTCACCATAAAAAAAAATGTAAAAAAATATGTGCCCAAAAGTATGAAACTAATACATAAGTGGATAAAATTACGATTTGGTTGCCATCGATTAAATTTTAACACTTTGTTTTTCTTTTAATTACCCTTCCTTCCATTGACAATTACAATAGACTCATTATAATTTCTGCATATAACAGATGATCCTCAGTGGTGCGGGTTTGGGTATGGGGTATGGGGTGGAGGATTTCAAAACCATATCCGCCCATCTTCATCAAAAATTTTACCCATACCATCCCCATACCCAATGAATGCGAAGATTCTCCACATTGACTGGGTCGGAGGCAGTTGGTCACCTGCGGCCATGGGTTTGGTTGTCATCTCTAAATAAGAGGGTGTTTAATAGCAAAAAATATAAATAACATAGTTCGTTTCTGAAAGTAGGTTGATTTTCTAACAATTATTTTCTTTATTTCCATCATTATATTTTGTTTAATTGATGAAAAATTATTGTTTATGTGTGTATTTGTTTAAAATTAGTAGAAAATTTACTTGATAAAGTTTAATAAGATGTTTTTTTTGTTTAAACAAATGTGATATATCACTCTACAAATATTAGCCTTTTTATACAAAAATGGATATAATACAAAACAAAAAAGAATTATTGAATAAAAGAAAACATCATTAAAAGAAGAGAGAGATAACTCCATAAATAACTCATTAACTAACTTTTTTGCTTGTAAAAAAATTGTCCACCTTGGCCACTTGTGAATTCTCCAAGTGCTTATGTGGCAAAAAGTTATTTTTGAACAACCATAATATATAGTAAGATAAGATAAGATAAGATAAGATAATTAAGGTTGTCAACCCGTAGGCTGACCTGAACCCGGTCGACATAGTGGGTCAAGGGTTAATGGGTCACCCCGTTTTAGCCCGGAAATATGAAAATAGTCATTATATTGTACTTATCCTGATAAATTATATTAAATTTTGTCTAACATATGAGTTATAACATATAATATTACACCAAAATAACATGTCGTACTTAGATCCAACATATAGTGAAAATTCACACACATTTCTATAACATCAATATTCAAATGTTAAACTTAGGATTCCAAAGATTGAGTTAGGCGAAAAGAAAAATCGGAAAATAGACGCATTTCACAAACCAAAGAAAAAAATGACATAATTTGACCTCCAAGCCGGTACCTTGTCGCGGTCGATCCGGCGGGCGCGTGCGACCCGTTTTTCTCACCGGGCCAGGCTCAAAGTGGGTCGACCCGTGGGTTGACAACCTTGTGCATAATACATCATTTTTTTGAATTTTCTACACAAACAATACATGTATTCATAAAATATATATATGGCTAGCGTACACCAGGCGTACGCTGTACGTCTGTGTTCACACCTATTAATTAATTATAAGAAAATTAATAATTAATGATAATTATAATTGCAACTACACCTATTAATTTATTTTTATTACTATTTAGTCCTACATAATTTTTTATAGTCTTTCTACTGGAGTGGATCATCTTACTTTCAATTAAACAACTATGATACATTATTTCCTCTAATCATGATTTATAACACTCGAAAAATACAATTATTATCTTAAAGTTTGCATCCACAATAATTTCTTCCTTTCTTTGAGAACACACGTCCTCGTTAACCTCATTAGAAATGAGGGACACTTCAATTATCCATCCCCATTCCCCTCCTTGATCAAACGAAAATTTCCACTCAAGAACTGAACAATGACCAATGTGTGAGGAGAAGCCCAAGACTTAGTTACCTGCAATTATCCATCCCCATTCCCCTCCTTGATCAAACGAAAATTTCCACTCAAGAACTGAACAATGACCAATGTGTGAGGAGAAGCCCAAGACTTAGTTACCTGCAACATCGCGAACAACGCCGTCAATGGCAAAAGATGGTGGATCTTGTTTCTTACTCCTATCCATGTTGAGTTTTACCC